GTGAGTCAGTTCGTTATCAGACTTCCGCTGCATAAATGCTCATCCTATATTGGTTGATCTTTGGTTCTGCCCATACTCATTGAAGTATGTAACACATGGGCTATCCCTTCACGGCACACGGCATGTGAACCACATGCCAGCCGGATCTCAGGCGGGTCATCACACAGAGGCATTGAGCAGGTTTCACGAGTTTCCGTAGTATTTACTCCCTCTCTATGGGCAAGACCACGACGGGGATCGATCCAAGGCAAGGATGCTTAACTGCTGCAGAATTTGATCCGCAACAGCTCATCCCTGTGGAGATGTCCTTTCAGTACACCGCTCTGTAGGCGGTTCATGCGGTAGAGTCTATTACCCACCTCAGGCTTCTGCGTCAGTCGTTCGTCTGGCATGCGCCCAACAATGCATGTGGGACATGCTAGGAGAGGATGCAACGGATGATGGCATTGGGGATGGTCCACGCAATAGAGAGACACTTTCTATGACAGCTTCCTGGAAACATTGACGACAGATAGCATGTTGCGGATATGTCAGCAGGAAAGCAGGCTGACGTTCACAGTAATTTCGACATGGCACGTCGAGGCCACGAGGGCATGCTGGGCAAACAATTAAGGGGTGGGAAGGACGAGTACAAGACGAAGGCTCACAGTTGTCATGGCAGAGGCTGGCAGCGACCATCTCTTCACAGTGTTCGGAGCATAGGCCATGCCGTGTGCATGCCAACCGAACTGTAATTCTATGACGACAGAATGGGATGGCACAGCCATCGTCCTGTGGGGAGGCCGATTCACCGTCCGTAGCAGAATCCGTCCAATCTACACAGGGAAGGCTCTCTGCCTGGCCATGCACAAGGGAATGAGGCAGTGTGTGTGTGTGTGTGTGTGTGTGTGTGTGTGTGTGTGTGTGTGTGTTTAAGATTTTCCCCACAACAGCCCCAATTCCACCCAGGTGAATAGATTGAGAATCAAAGCAGTCTTTGTCCTATTGCAGACAACGAGAGCATTTGAGATGTCCACCGTATTAAAGCAATTTTATAATTAGACAGTTTTTTGGTCGTCCTTTGGGTACCCCTTTCATTGTTCTTGCAGCTCCCCTTTTACTGTGCCTCTTACACACAAGGCTGCCCCCGTTGATTGTGGTTGAGCAGCAGCTGCCCACATCCCAGTGTGCCTTCACGGCCGACTTGCACGTTATTTCAGGAGGCAGAGTAAAAGGGAAGGTATGCTCCTGTGCATCTCTTCAGAGCTTCATACTCCTGTTCATTTCACTTCAGATCTTCAGCTTATACAGTCTTTGTGTCCGTCCTTCATCTTCATACTTCCGTTCATTTCATTCTGATCTTCATATCGTCTATTCCCTTAATGATGCTCATTCGTATGTATTTGTTAGTAGTACAAAGGTGTATGATTTTTAATATCCACCGCTGAAGCAGACAACAACAACAACAACAACAAAAAAAAAAAAAAAAAAAAAAAAAAAAAAAAAAAAAAAAAAAAAAAAAAAAAAATCTATGACGAGTGGCCACCCCTACAGACCGGACATGACCGGTTCGGGTGTGGGCTATGGAAGCACCGTATCCAATTTTCGCAGTCACAGTTGCTGCATCGAATGGCACAGCGCAGACAGATGTCACAGGCTACGTGGCTCGTACATGCTAGGAACACAGAGGCACGTCGACCGCAATTATAGAGGCATTGCCATTCCAGCCCGTCTACAAATTGGACATGACATGTCGGGGTGCCGTACATGAGTACAGTACTGACTGTCATCGTACATATGGAAGCAAAAACTCGCATGGACTATACCTTCATAATCCTCACGGCACATGGCATGTGAACCACATGCTAGTTGAATCTCCGGCGGGTCATCACAAAACGGCGTGGAGCATCTTTCTTGGGCTTCCTCAGTATGTATTCCTTCTCTATGGGCAGACGACGACAGGGAGGATCGGTGTGTGTGCGTACCACACACACACATAGAAAAACGTGGAAGGGGACGGAGGGGATGGCATTGCTTTCCGAGTGATGACATTTCCTCAGGTCATGCCTCTGTGTGTGTGTGTGTGTGTGTGTGTGTGTGTGTGTGTGTGTGTGTGTGTGTGTTGTCATATTCGCTATACACTCAAAAAAAGCATGACTGTACCAGACTTTCGTCGGACTTTCACCGACTCATCAGGAGGTTGAACCCCGACAGTCGCCCAGGATGCATTTGACTGATGGATAAGGACTCACCACATCGCACAGAGTTAGCGATACCCCTGAGAAAAGTGGTCAACTCCGTGTGTGTGTGTGTGTGTGTGTGTGTGTGTGTGTGTGTGTGTGTGTGTGCATTTGTGTGTGCATTTGTGTGTGTGTGCATTTGTGTGGGTGTGCACACATCTCTCTCAGCCTGCCACAATTTGATTATGTGTGTCCCATTATCCGTTATGTTTGGCGTAACCGTTTGCATCTGGTGGGTGTGGCATTCATCAGTGAGCAGCCAAGTTTTCCAGCGGATGGATCATTGTGTCATCCGGGGCAGAAACCTAACATCAGTATGATGATGCAGAGATATTGAGTTGACCATGAATGCCTTGAAGTCCTTGAAGCTGTGGGTGTCCATGTCTACTTGGTGACTCACGTCCACACGCGGGGCAGCATTGGGTGGAAGCAATTCCTTAGCAGCGTTGTGATCATGTTGGATAACAACAGAGCTCTCTCTCTCTCTCTCTCTCTCTCTCTCTCTCTCTCTCTCTCACACACACACACACACACAGGTACATAATTCCGCTTGTGTGCTGGTGCTTGAGAGAGGCAAAGGGTGAGAGAGAGAGAGAGGGGCATAGATTGTTCTGCCTTTTGAAGACACAATCTATGCCTCACTAAAACCTGACTTGAACCTCGCATATGAACAGGCCAAGAATAACACAAATCTGGTTGCGTAAGTGACCAGGTTTGTTCCATCTCGCATGCCAGCGCCCACCTAAGGTAACAAAACAACCTGTGCATTCTTCTTATTATTAGCTTCAAGCTCACAAAACGTACAAGAAGAGCATCCCGTGAAACTTAGCAGCAACTTAGCAAAGGTCCTGGCCACTCTTACGGCCCAGCTTCATGCTTACTTTGTTCACATGGACACAGCAGCCGCAGGAGGGCCTGAACCCCCTCCCCTCTATGCTCCACACCATAGCTTGCACAGAAATCATCATCATCATCACCATCAGCACACAGAGAGGCCCCCCAGGTGTGTGTGTGTGTGGGAGAGAGAGAGAGAGAGAGAGAGAGAGAGAGAGAGAGAGAGAGAGAGAGAGAGAGAGAGAGAGAGAGATTACAACGAAGAGAAACCACAAGACAGCATCTATTTCCTATTTCCCTATTATTATAGACCACGCCATTCCAACAACAAATTGGTTGCCACATTCACATCATTCTGAGCCTCGACGAGGGCACGCACAACCTCATCATGATCAAAGCCCATTCCCATTAGTGTCTCTACTGCCTCTCGGGAAGGCGGGGACGCCCACAAGCTCCTTCCCCCCGCCGGCATCCTACCATCCCCTCCACCAAACCTCTCCATTCTTGGCTCGCGAGGTCCAGCCTCCCCATTTTCATTTCCATCTTGGCTGGCACTGCCACCACTAGCTCGCCAGGCCGGTTGCGGGTGAGCTACACGCGATGATCGTGGTAATCTCATGTGGTTCATGATGAACCTCACTGGACCAAACTTTGTCACGTCCGGCATCATCCATTGCCGGATCCCGAAGATATTTAACCGATATATGCTTCCAGCTAACAGCCCCACGAAGGACGGGAAAAGCGACGACTTCCATGAGGGGAGGAGGAGTTGCAGGCCGGAAAGGTATACAAATGATTTGTCGGACAAGCGAAGGCCCAAGATGGAAAAGTGCGTCGATACGGGCACGTCCAGGAAGAATGGGACAAACAGGGAGAAGATAAGAGCGAAAGGACCAGGGGCAAGCACCTTGCTGCTGCCTACGCCGCCGCTACCTCCTTGCAAGAGGAGGAGGTAACCAATCTGCAGGAGGGTGGCAAAAGTGGTTGAGAAAATGACAAACACACCAAACTTTGAGGACCCTGCGCGTCGCTCAAACATCCGAAAGAAGTAGAGGAGGTAAAGCCCAAAGATCATCTCCGGCAGCGATGCGAACACCAGGTTTCCTGTGAATGACCGCCATAGCTCAAATCTTTGGAACACACCCGCATACGTCAGACTCAAGTGCCGAAGAACTCCACGAGACCCAGCAGCTAGAGACAAACCAGCAGAACTGATAATAATTGCCTTGGTGATTGGCGCATTCTGAAACCCAGAAGGACCAGAGTTCATTTTCTAGCCACCCCAACCTCCTGTTTCCACTGCTCAGCTCTCTCTCTCTCTCTCTCTCTCTCTCTCTCTCTCTCTCTCTCTCTCTCTCTCTCTCTCTCTCTCTCTC